TCCTCCAGGAAAAAAAAAAATTCACAATAATCTCACTGGAAGCGAGTTCTGGAAATAAAGAATTATAGGCATGTGCTATATATAAACACATTTCTAACACAGAGATTTTTATTCCCTGTATAAAACCACAATCTCTTACATAATTCTGTCCACAATATCACAGGAAAGACAACATGAGGCAGAAATTACAAACTCAACTGGCTTAAAAAGTAGAAGAGCTTCACCTGTGATTCTTTGATAATTAAAAAACTTAGCTGAGGAGAATGTGAATAGAGTCTATAAAGTCTTGAAGATTTGAAAAAGAACATCCAACATTTATTGACCAAATCTTGGAAAAACCAAGATAACAGAAACTTTTAAGTTTGAAAGAGATGAATCTAGGACAGGTGAAAGAATGTCCCATTTTACACAAAGAATTATGAAAAGGAACTCTTTCATCCCAAACAGAAGCTAAAAGATATAAATAATTTCAAGAATTTATAGATGGCAGATCCTTAAGAGCTTTTTAATGAAAATTGGGGATAACTAGTTATATCATAAACAACAGCTGCTAAAATCATGAAATATAATGCTGATTTTCAATAAAGTACCCCAATGGAACTCCTTCTAGAATTAGGAGTTACAGTTCCAATAACTGTCTAATGTTTCTTACAGTCTCTGTTTTTTTTAATTCAAGAAGAATGCTTTTTTCCTCAGACTGTTTCTATAAATGTGCTATGGTATTACCTGTTCTTCTTCTGAACATTGTGATGAGGTACGAAGAAAGATGGTTTCATTTCTAAGATGGCGGTCATTTGGTTCATTTTTATGAGTAATGTTTTCTGAAGAATCAATTCCAAATGCTCCCCTTTTGGTCACGTTATCCTCTGAAATGATAAGTTATATAGTATTAGGAATCATCCACCACACCCAGTCTGGTTTATTTTGTGCTTATGGAGAAACTTTCTTTCAACAAAAAAGAATACTTTTCAAAGAATTCTACAAACTAAAGGCTTGAGGCATTAAGCACTTTTACCTTTAAAAAGTTATTTCTAAAAATGTATAGAAAGATAACATTATTTCATTCAATATCAACAAATATTTATTGAGTGTCTACTACATATCCAGGACTATCTTGACCATTCTTAAAAGGTCAATAAAGTATATTATTTGGAAGACTTAGACATTACCTATCCTTTTTCTATCTAAATTTAAGGAGTTTTTTTCCTTATATGGAAGTAATATATGGATGATTTTAGAAAATTTATAAGGAAAAAAGTAAAATATGAAAATCAGCTATAATCCTATAAGCCACAAAAACTACAAAAATTTTTCAGTGGTTATCTTTCTAATCTTTTTTTATGTATCCATGAACTTCTAAACATCAGAATAGAGTCACACTATATATATCATATTAACCTAACTTGCCAGCAATATCTCTTTTCATGCTATTGAATATTCTTCTATAT